ATAGAAATAGGAAATGTAATTTACTGTGGTGACTATGTCCCCACACCTTTAGTATGTTGATAATGCTCTGACAGTAACCATCAAGATGATAGGAATCAATGTTTCCAATGTTGAACAGTGGCACAGTGACGCTGTACTGTAACTGTTTCAAGAATTTCACAATCCGGCTTCCGTTCTAACCACAAATCACCTGTTTACTGGTCCAGTCACCTATCCCTTTCCTCAATCTATTTGTTTTGTTTTACCTCGGCCTACCACAAATACGGCCCATACAGTGTGCGCACCAATCGCCATATCGCTTATTTGATCTCTTTCCGCATGTATTTTTGTAGTGAGCGCAAGTGGACAGTAGCAGAAGTCAATGTCTGATGGGAATTTTATGCAGATAGGATGAGGTAGCACTCTATATACCTGACAGGCCCCAAAATTCCAAAATGCCACCCCTAACACTAATCCAAGATACCTTTTTAATAATCTTAAATGTCAGAACAATTCTGACCACAAAGTGAATAATTTAGACGTACTCGAACACCGCAAAAAAAAATGTAAGTATAAAGAACACTAAAAAACAAGGTAGAAAATAATTATGTTTTATGACTTTGAACCACTTAATAACCTTGGTAAAATTTTGTAGGCATGCCAAGCACTTAGAAAACCGCTGTTAAATAGGGCCCTTGCCACATACTAGTGGCTTGAGTGTCTGGTTTAGGGGTTCACAGGTTTACCATTGATTTATTACAATGCATTATACTTAATAGTATTACATTCAAGAATTAACTGTATTTCAATTTAATGGCAATTCAGACTAAAATGATAAAATAAAACAATTCATATCATTTAGTATCATTAAAATACAGCATCTGTATCAAGTCGGGAAAGGGTTACGACCTACTCATGCATTTCAGTCTCTCAAAAGGTGAAAAAATTAACCTGTTTAAAAAAGTCTTTTTGCAGTTTCAGGACAAAACAAGGCATACATGACATAAAACAGCATTGCCTAAAAAATAATCCCATCTGAACCATTTTTTACATTTACATCAATTAGAGTGTTCAATCATAAGAACTGGAAAAAAATTGCAATCGAAAATGGGTGGGGTGGGGGAACTACAATGAATTTATGGATAAAAGACTAGATCAGGGCAATTTTAGTACATATGTAGCATTTTGATTCTTAAAGGAGACAATACAGAAGATGTAAGCTATATCAATAAAAACTTACTGAAGATGGACCCCACTGCAGATGAAATACAATAAAAGAAAACTGATAGTCTAATAAAATTTTAAAAAATAATTACTTTTTCCACTTTTGTACTTAGTGTCAAAATAATCCATATTTATATTTATGATGTAAGCATAATAGAGAAGTGTTAGGGTGCTTTCCAAGAGATTTAGATCGATCTAAAGATTAAGATTTAGATGACCTAACTCCCTGGGGGTTCACGCTAAATTGCAGTCGGGCGGGCACCATAGTCAATTACCCCCTTACAGCTTTTAGTAGGCGGGACAGACGCTTAAGCCGGTCAAGCTGACAGTAATCTAGTGAGACTCCCCACAGGGATAGATCGATCTAAAAATCTATGGAAATGGGGTGTTAGACCTAGCTTAGACAGCAAACAATGTTAAATTGTAACACTTAAAGCTGAATAAATTATTACTATTATTATTATTATCCATTAAGATGCTAAAAAGCTTTGAAACTTCTGTGCCTCGTGTTGAATGTCCCAGATGCCTCTCATTCTTAGCTATTCTAACTTGTCGGTCATGCAAGGAGACAATTAAATATCACTTACTTGGTGCCCATTTCTCCCTTATATTCATCTATAACAAATAACAACACCATTAGTGACTTGCCAGATGAATTTTACTAACAATTAAGTTTACTAAAATAAAAATAATATAAAAATGGACCAAATATTACAACAGAAATATATCAACTTGACATGCTGTCTGAATGCTATGCAACTGTTTGTTTCTAACCAAATCTTTTCAAAACAAGTTTTTAGGAAGGGCTAAAATCAAAATGTTCACAAGAGTCCCCAATGTGCTCTTTTCACCACAACAACGAGGACTTCTGGTATCAAAAACCCATCAGTAGAGCTATGATGGACAGCAAGGAAAACAAATGGCATCTTAGATTGGCACGGTGGGTGTCAGTGTCTCAGTGCAGTCATGAAAAATGTATGCGGATTTTCGGGGACAACCACAGTGGATTAAATAATGGACCATCTGCTTTTAAGTTTGTTCTCTGCTGCACTGTGCAACAGTTGATTGCAAAGGATAAAACGCTACTTCTCCTACACAATTCGAATGTTAAAATTTAACCATTTCTTTTAAACACTATTTCTTTAGATACTAAACATTAATATTTGTCAACATATAATAACAAACTGCAATTTTTAAAAAAAAGTTAACATGCTTGCATGGTGTAGCTCTGTTGGTTATGTACAATAATATTAAACTTGTTAAGTTGATTGTGCATATATTTTGTAAAGATTTAAAGAGGTGGGTAGGGGGGTCTAAAAGGGTACGTTAATTCTCCTTTTTTGTCCCAATTAATACTGCATGCACTTAAAAAAATCAATAATATCATCTAATGAGTGCTTCCAAACTAGAAGTGAAATTCAGCAAAATATCACTTGCCAGACTGAATTTTGAAAATTTTATATTGAAATATTGCATGCATAGTTAAAGTATAAGTAGTCATTGTGTCTGTTATTCAATGGGTGCGGACCTTTCACCGCATTACCACCATATCTTTTGTTAACATCGGCACTCAGGGACTTAATGTTGCAGAGGATACCATAAGGGGAACATCACACTTCTAAAGAAGGTAACTGCGATTTTATCGCGTATGTAAATATGCAGTCATAGACAGATGATGGAGAACTAGAAATCCTGGACCTTGCTTAACATGCAAACGGTTCAAGGTTCAGAGCTAGACCCCCTCGCCTTCCTGATCTCATTGATGATGATGCATGTGTAGAAAAAGTACAGTGTACAGCATTGTCATCCCCTTGCAAACTAGTGAGCTTCACAGTTACTGTAATTTTCTCCATGTCAGCCCATTTAGTTCTCTGTTAAAAATCCCAAAGAGCAGAACGATGCATTAGGTTAACAAATGTCAAAGCATCCATGTGACAATTTTTTATTTGCAAGCCAATAAAACTTGCAGAGACATACCACGTACGCACTCTAAAATCACCACTAATTGATCTCCCCTGCAACAAAAGATATGCATCATTCACAATGGGTTTTCACATCAAGAACTCCGGTTCACCTCCCCAACCTCTATCAGTGCTCTCAGCTTAGCCCTTAAACACAGATGATAAATTCTGTCTGCTACAAAGACATTAGCAGACAATTTTTCTTCCTCTTGCCTGACACGAATTTCAAACAGGTAATCTCTGAGGCCCTTGCCATCTGTCCCCCAGCACTTGCTGACATATAGACCTTTTCAACACAAAGATATATTTCACCAAAATCTAAATTTCTAGACATGATGGTGCTGTTTAAAAACCACTTGGAACATACCGACTTACGTTAGTCAACATTAAAAAAATCAACTACAGAATGTTTAACCACAACTTAAATGGAATGTTAGTGCATTTTTTTGTGTGTAATGTGACATCCAATGGACTTGGCTTAATATGTTTAAATACAGCTGTTGCCTTATTTGGTGGAAATTAGTTGACCTTATTAATATGCACTCAATAAATGCTAAAATTCAACTGCCAATAAAACAGTCTGAAACTGATGAAACTCATTTTTTCACAAAGAAAAATATTTTTAAAAAATCCATGCAAATCTTTTCTTGGCATAGACAGCACAACATAAGTGTTTCATAATTAATCTGCATTTTTCAATAATTCTGCAAAACTTGTAAGAGAAGATGGAGAACAGTAACAATATCCATAATAAACTTCACATATAATTTTGTGCTATATATCATAGGAAGTATGTCTGAAAAATAGAAGGACTCTAGCAGGAGCTATGGGCAAAGGAGGGACCATGCAGCCAATGATTATCTTGGGAATAAATAACAGTACTGCAATCTTTCTGGAAATATTTTTTTCACATGCTTTAGTTTACATTTGCCGTAATGCACAACAATGCACCTGCTCTCATTGTGCTCAGCATCCAGCAGTTCCTTCCCATAAAAAAAAAAAAAAAAAAAAAAAAAAAAAGCAGATTGAAACAACCCCCTNGGAGAACAGTAACAATATCCATAATAAACTTCACATATAATTTTGTGCTATATATCATAGGAAGTATGTCTGAAAAATAGAAGGACTCTAGCAGGAGCTATGGGCAAAGGAGGGACCATGCAGCCAATGATTATCTTGGGAATAAATAACAGTACTGCAATCTTTCTGGAAATATTTTTTTCACATGCTTTAGTTTACATTTGCCGTAATGCACAACAATGCACCTGCTCTCATTGTGCTCAGCATCCAGCAGTTCCTTCCCCAAAAAAAAAAAAAAAAAAAAAAAAAAAAACAGCAGATGAAACAACCCTCTTTTTCCCCCCCCTGGCTCCCCCCCCCCCCCCCCCCCAAGCTCAAGGGGGTCATCAAGGGAGACCGTCTAAAGACTCATAATGAAGGTGCTAATGGCCATCCCAGAAGTGCACAGAGACTTGGCAGATGAAGATGGAATAGTGCATTAGGTCCTTTTTATTTCAAGTGGTACATATAACTGGACTGGTCCACTTTGAGAGGTCCTTACATTTAAGTAGAGGGGGGGGCTTACTCTCTTATGTGCACCAACTCCAAAGGGACTCCCGCTGAATGCAATCAGATACACTGACTAATACACTTTCTCCTGGTGTTGAGTATAATGTAGAAAGCTGGTGATCATATAAGGACAAGGAGGAGGTCCAAATTCTGCAACTGCTTTATACATAATGATGATTTTTTATCTCTTATTTGAATAGAATTTTTTTTGGAAATTCCCCTCCTCATTTGGCAAATTTTGAGAACAAAAAGTTTCATATTCATTTGAACACAAAATCCAATGTTTATTTCATTTTACAGTTAACATTTAATGGGGAAATTAATAAACATTCACAGATTTCATTATACAACAATGATGCACTGGATTACACTTGTACCGGTACTACAACCCATTTTTTATACAGGTTCTGCATATTTATAAATTACGTGAATATATACAAGCTCAGGGTGATATAAAAGAATTTCAGTTCTAAAGCATTTAAATATATTACCAAGTTATCTAGTAGACTAGTTACCAGCATCAACTGAAACAACATAACTAAGAGAGAGAAAAGAGGATTCAGCCTTCTTCTGGGTTGGATGCCATTTCATTATCCATAAAATACAACAATAAGTAATCGTGTCATCATAAATAGCACATAATATATTTAAATAATTTCAACATATGTACATATTATGGACAGGACACAATTGAATTCAATCGATATAACCAATGTGGTTAAAATGATTGGAAGTATTCCCAAGCATTTTCCACTATTATTCTAAATGATTAATTCCATGTTAAAAACAGGATAAATAAACAAATAAATAAATAAATGACATCTGCAATGAAAATGTCACCAACTGAAATGTGCAATGGCCTATCTTCATATTTTCAGATATTTTATATTGTATGAATAAATGTTTAAGTTAATATTTCAAATGAATGTTTTAATGATTTTACAATGATGTTGTAACTGCAGGAAGGGGTTAATGTGTGCACTATATTCTGCCTGCAGCTTTTCCATCACAAGCAATAAAGAATTCAATGGTATTTCCTTCATGTCTAGACGCCTAGTCATTCCACACAGTTACGTTTTATACAACACGAGGGTATGCGGCACATTTCATAATTAGATCCATCAGTGATCTTAAAATATATATTACACCACATCATTATCATAATCTTATTGCAGCTGATACATCCGATGTAATATTTAAATAAAAAGTATGTATAATCATGATACAATTGTCCTTTGTCTTGGATGTCCATGAAATGTTAATAGCACTGCTGATTCAAAATAATGATGAAATGAAAATATTCAAATATCATGCTTCAAGATATCATGCTATTTCCAGGGCTCACTCTAGCATATTTTTTCATTTCAGTTCAAATACCCAAAAAATTTTTTGCAACAAATAATTTAAAAGAAAGTAAAAAACACCAAAATTGTGAGAATAAATTCTCTCTCATCATCTTAAGCTTTCGATGAACACTCTGAATGCTAGTGTGAGCCTATCTATCCCACCATGTGATGTCCTCTGTAAAAATCCCTCCAGTAACTGTTTAGTCTACTGTCCCTGTGTCCTCCACATTTTCTGGTTACTCTGAATGGAGAATCCTGTTGAAGGCATTGTATGAGGACTCCAAGTCAAATAGCATTTGTCTCACTTGCTGCTCTGATAGTTCATCTGATGCCTGCATCTGTCCCAGAGTCTTCAGCCTGGAAAAAAATAAGAAAAAGAACAAAAACTGTACCAAACAGCTTTCAGTTTGATCATATGTTTTATGTGAATTTTGACTTTTAACACATTTAGTGAATATTTGTATAATCATCTTCAAGTACAACATTGCAAACAAAAAATGTCTGAGTTACATTTAACTTGAAAGTGAACTTACTGATGAAAAGTCTTAGAAACTCAAACAATAATAATCCTTTAAGCAACACACAGTTTGTGCTATGATAGTAACTTTAGGTATTAAAAGTTAAAAGTGCACCAATTGAAAAAATATTATTTAAAGTTAAAAATGTTCAGCAATCACAATGCTAAATTGTAGTTTTGATAACATTTGAAATAAGTAATTCAGTAAACTTGGTAGATTTTATTTTCACATATCCAAGAATTGTTAAGTTGATTTTATGCTTAGGGAAAAAATCAATAGCATTTTTACCAGAAAATTATGTCAGAAAATTAAAATTCTAATTGTTATACGACAGACATAGTTCCTCCTTTGTGGTCAATTACTCCATACCCACAAAATGATTGCTCATTTTTTAAAAAATTAATACACTTTAGTCTATTTCAATCCTGTCATGCACAAAAAGGCAAAATGCATAAATACAATGACATAATATTACAATCTTTTTCTCAATGGACTAGTGGCTTATTTGCAGAACAGACAGACGCTAATGTATGACCTTTTCACCACATCAAACGATATGAAATCAGATATGCAATTCTCAGACAAAATCTGCAGTATTCACACTCGTGACATCTGAACCATGCAAACTCTGGCATCATGCTGCCATTAGCTATCCAGGTGCCACCACGTCCCATAATGCACTAGACCACAGAATCAGAAAAAACTTGCATGTCATGTCATAGTTATGACATAGGTCACTGTTTGGCACAACTGGCCATCATCGGAAGTAAGAAAGATGGTGAATATACTTGAATCATCTTAATCAATTTATTCATCTTATCCATTATTTATCTGCCTGTATAGAATAAGGTTTTCACATGTTACTGGCATAAAGCAAACTTTCATATCAGACTGAGCCTCATTTTGTACAGAAACCTTTAGCAAATATGATGACTATCAAAAATGAGATTTCTTTCATTTTATTTTTACATATTCAACACTAAATTACTTGAATTTTTTACATCAAATAATTTGGTTAGCTAGGCAATCTCCATTGTTTGAGCATACAAGCACCATATATTCATTTTTCTTTCTTATTTAACCCTGGTTGATATGTATCCAAACTTTTGAAAAGTGCATATATGCCCACATTCCAGGTATATCCATGCTCAGCTGATTATTTCTATACAATTTCTATATAAAGTATGACCTCTCATTCGTCATTCAAAGGATAGCCCTTACAGAAATCGCTTATACTCTTAACCACTTGACATCAATGCCTAATACAAAATGAAAATTAAAAAATCTAAAAAAAGCAGATTATATTCCTTTTTTAGAGTTGTACTGAGAAGAAAAAGTCATTGAAGAAAATAACTGAAACTGAGTTCAAGGCTCTCCTCCTTTGTATCTTTTTTTAATTCTGCAACTTACAAATGAATGCAAATTTCCATGTTACATGTTGCCCTAGGAAATAACATTATTTACACAGCAGTCATTAAAGGCAATTGTCAAAATATATGTTAATTCTTTTACATTTGTTAATGCTAAGTAGGACAGAAAACCTTGGTCATCAGACAACATTGTAACCTTTTGGCCTTAGTATACATAACTTGACTTCAATTATATTCTGTGTTACTGATTATCAACATTACTACACACCTTGTTCTACATGTACATATACATCATTACTATAATTGTATGAAACAGAGCTTCAGGTGTCAGTCTATTACAGGAATGGACTAGCAGGCACACAATTCAATAAATAAATAGACGTGCATGTTCACATAAAAAAATGGCCGATTTAGCTAAATTTCTTATTGAAAATAACTGTCTCTCTATGTAAGAAAAAAGTAGAAATAAAAATTAAATCAACATTAAGTTCAATAAGTATGATTTCTTATTCAGTCAATTGGCATTTTATTAAAGGTGATCAAAAAATAGGACATTTGTAAAACTAAAGCTGCATGATTATTACAAGGTGATGCACATTTTTTTTCTCTACAGGAATGCAATATGTTAACATGAAAATATGTCAAAAGAAAGAAAAGGACATACTTTGCAGGTGAGTCTGTCAAATGCTAATTAGCATTGGCCAGCTGACAACTGTTAAATGGGATTAGTCTGATATCGCCTAAAACAAGGCCCCTGGCACTGCGTGACATCAAATGAGACTAAAAATTTTGCAAAAACCCACATGAAGTGGAGTTAAGTTTATATTGATAAGAGTAAACAGAAACTCTTATATGTAGGATACAAATGTGACACCCAAAACTTGTTGACTTTGTAATGCTATGCAATAGACTAGAATTTGATAGAATTTTAGAGAAAACGCTCATAAAAAATCTTTAGACAATAAATTTCAGTTTATATTCTTTGCCAAACTGCTAGTCTGCCATTATTTCTGAAAATCTCTCTTCCAAATCCCTAAAAATCTCCCTTTATTTTATGCCAAGTCACCTGTCTCAAATGATTCCTATTGGCACCCTACCATAACCACTCCATTATGTAAGTTTCCATGTAGGCATGCAATACATATGCACCTTTATGTAAGCCATCTCAAATGTACCACAAAACAAGTGCATGTTTTATATGTTTCTATTACATGTTAAATAAAGTCATCCAAAAGTCCCTCTCAGATCTTCAAAGGAATGAGTGTTTTAACACCCTTACTTCATTTTCCTCCTCATCATCATAATGTGTCAATTAAAACCAACACTGGAGATGAGTCTTATGCATGACAGTGGTTATATACATGTACAAAGTGGCTATTCAACCTTATTACATCCTGGCTAGATACTGAAACAATGTCATGTGAAATGTGCCCCCCCTCGTAACTTAAAGTATTTGGGTAAAGTCAAGAAAACTTTGTGGACCATGATGTTGCTCATGTAGCTTTGGGAGGAGGCATGCCAGACAATTTAGTTGATTACATTGACTGTGCCTTTGCAAGAATTCCTGCTGAGATAGATCGATCCTGCTAGTACAATAACTTCTATCCTAAGTTATCTTACTAGATATAATACAAAATACTGAATCCAAGTGCACGGACAGGCTGAGCAGTGATTCTTGGGCAGGTTAAAATTTCTCTTCTTTTCAAGGAAAATTAGATTTGGCATGAAAACCTTGCATAAAAACCATGGAGGCTCTTCAAATAAATAGAATGCCATGTAGACACATAATTCTGTTTTACTGATTTATTCTATTTTTTCCTTTCACTTTCATAAACCATATTGTTCCCATTCTAAAACTTATACAAACACATGAACCAAATTATTATATTTTTCTCACTTTTCTTTACCCCTAACACAAAGTGGTTCTTTCCATATAAATTGATAACTATAGTAATTACCATTTCATGCAAATGAAATCAAAATGTTTTAAATTGCTTGCAATTCTTACAGCATGGGTGAAAGTTGTAAAAACTGAAAATCCTGAAATGTAGCTTGCAATTTCTCATCGCAATTTAGATCTCGAAGACTGAAAATTTTGAAATCAAGCATAATCCTGAAGACTTTCACCCATGGTGTAGTACTTAAGTTCAAATCAATTATTTCTTTCCTCACCCAAGTATAGTTCAAATCAATTATTTCTTTCTTCACCCAAGTATGTAAAATATTCCCCTTGATGTATAATGATCTGCTAATCAGTATATCACAAGATAGTCATTAAAGCAATGGTGTTACTTTTCCGTGGCTAATGTCTTTTGAACTTTTCTTGTCATTAATCTAATCATGCTTAATCCTGGTTAATCTCCTGGTCAGAAAGATGTTATCTAGAATGGACAAACAAGGGACAGCTCTGAGGAAGTCCCTCATTATGTTAACTACTGGTTCTGAGGGCTACTGACCTTCTCTGCACCTCCTTTATCTCATCATTATCAAAATTAAGTAAGACAGATGTTCATTTAAGTCAATTATTTGTTCCTTTTCTTTGAATTGCCCTCTCCGGGGTAAGACAGGCCTGTGTGACATCTTCAAATTCCCAGTCCCATTAATATTGACATTAAGTCATATTGTATATTAGTTAATTTGTGAAAATGATTTTATCTCCATAGGAGTATCAAGTGAGTTTCGTTTTTAGAAGATGTAAAACTCATGACCAGAAATGACAGAATCTTTGCAAATATAGTTAACAATATTATCTCTATGCTGAGATTAAAAAAAAAAATAGGTAACCATTAAGGATTTGTTGCCATGGTGATTTGAAATGTGGTTTCAAAAATTACAATAGAACCCTTTTTGAAATTGCACTCCCCACACTAGGTATTCAGTTTATAGGAAAGGCATACAGAACAAGGAACAAATGATAGGAACCCAGTTAATTGCTACTATGGCAACATGTTTTAGGAAAAGCAGATATTTTCTCATTTTTACCACATATTCCAAGTGATCTAGTGCTCTACCACTCAGCTAATTCTCCACTCATATAAAGTAAAATCCACCATACTAGGTGTCAAGTAAACCCAAATGTATGTTTCTCTGTTTTACCTAGAGATACTGATTACCATAAAATAAGAGAGGTGGATTGTTTGTATTGTTATTAAATTGCTGTTTTGTACTTATAACTGTGTAGGACAACAATTTGTGTGTTATCAAATATATTAAGTATTGAAGTCAGTTTTAGATGAAAAGCAAAGACTAGCTCAATAAACTCAAATGCCCTTTAGTGAAGTTGCATTGTGAAAGTTGCCAATACTGTATTACTAAAGAAATGTTTACATATGCAAAAGCATAGTACCAGTGGTAGTTGGATGGGAAAATAAGATAACTTAATTACTTGTAAATATCCTTTGATGTATTTTTTAATGTGTTAAATGTTTAATAATATATAAAATTGCATTTTAACTTGCTAATTGTAGAGAAAATTGGTGGAAATTCTGTCTCAATTTCTTACCAATGCACTCTTAGCTTAACTACACAAAACATCATGGTCAAATTCAATAAAAACAGAAATATAGTTGGACCCTATCTTTATCATTTCCCATATCTCTAGGTTAATTTTATTTTTCATTCTTAACAACATATGGTTCTTAAAAACATAAACTGTATCACTTCCTGAATTTATCTTTTATCTGCACACAGTACCAGATTTTAATAATAACATATCTTGATCAACTTTACTTGCATCCAATAAATTAATCTCTAAGCACAAGATATAAGAAACATACATAAAAAGGAAATAAAAAAATTGTAACATATGCAAACAAATAAACCACATATACTGCCGGCAGCAGTGACAGGTTAAGGCCAAAGCTGTTGACAGCATAGCAGATCCTCCCTGAAGACTTTCTACCAAGAACATCTAATCCTCAGGTCTTGGTAGGATCAAGTGAGGTTAATAGGACACTGACTGCTGACGCACGCACTGGAGACGTTCCACCTAACAATGACATGTGCCATGTGACAGGTACATTTTCAATGAGGATGAGCTGCTCAAGTTAAATGAAAATTAAGTGTTAATTGAAATTCTTAAACAAAGAGGCAGTGGAAGTCTCAGGACCGCGTTCCTCTTTATGTAGTCATCATGTACTTGTTTTATTTAGCTCCACATAAAATGTGCAGTGATCGCTTGGAAATATGCAAATATTTTCCTTAGGTGTGTCAGTTCAGTGCATTTCTTTCAGATGATACCTTTAAAGGTGTTCAATGTATTTGCAGTTTTTGACGCAATGATACACTAAAATCCAGATATCAATGAAATCAAACAATACTTATTAGTAGACTAACAACAACATAACTTTCCATTAACTAAAAAACAAAAAACTTAGGTCAAAACAAACATTTTTACTAGAACATAGTGCATCACTGAATCATATAAAATAGTTTCTAATCATTTGACAAAAAATAAATAGTAAGTTTGTTGTCCAGACATCAATAAACTCAGGGAAGTAAGCCACTCAATCCAAAGACTCATCTTACAAATATTGGGACCAAGTCTAAAGTAAATATATCTACATCAATATAATTCTAGGCTACCATCACCATCATGTCCGACTCTTTTAAAAAACAGAAAACACAAAAGCAGTCTCTTTTCCATCTTTGTATAAGAACATTTGACAGTAGTTACAGAACAAGTACATATCTGCTGCAGAGTGCAGGAGGAATGCAAATGAAGCGGAAGACTGAGAAAACCACAGGTGAAAATTAGAAGATGGATGTTCTGACTGAGTTGAAAATTAAGTGTTGATGGCAGTTATCCAGGTTATTAACCCCCTCAGGTCAAGCTACGGATACTGCTTAAAGTGTTCATTAAAACAACTTGATGATGCTGCATGATATTGTTAAATACATAAATAAAAAATGTGCATAAATAATTTTGAATAACTCCCTCATTAAATCTACATGAAGAAAGTCACCACCTGTTAAGAATATTGTAGACTCAAGCTAGTCAAACACTTCAGGAATAACATCTGATGCCAACTATCAGAACCTCAAGAACTGTCTGAAGACATATCTTAAGAGTTTTTCCTTAGCATATAGCAATGGAACCATAGCAGTCTGTCTGCGACTTAAACACTGGCTCCGCGCCAAATGTCACTGAAATTGAAGGCAGGCCAGCAAACTTTTGTAAATTTGTTCAGTCTTGGGCCATTGTTATTGCTTTGGGGCATTAGATTCCTAGAACCTGGTGGCCTGAAGTGCCAGTAGGCTAAAAAAAAAGCTTTGGCACAGACTGACATTGGGATTGGCATTTTGGGCAAATTTACAATGCAATTCATTCTTACTTTTCTATTACGTAGTTTTTTTTTTTTGTCCACTATACCACAAATTTTTGGATATAAACTAAAATACCTTTACTATAAAAATCATTAACTGCAACAACTACTCATATATCAGCCATCAGAAATTATATGAAAAGGCAATTCAGAAAACAATCTTTGGATATTTGTCTAAAACACAACTGTTGAGANTAGTTTTTTTTTTTTTGTCCACTATACCACAAATTTTTGGATATAAACTAAAATACCTTTACTATAAAAATCATTAACTGCAACAACTACTCATATATCAGCCATCAGAAATTATATGAAAAGGCAATTCAGAAAACAATCTTTGGATATTTGTCTAAAACACAACTGTTGAGACAAAAATCTCCACAACCACATTCAACCCAGTTGCAGTACAGTTGTAACACAATGATCACAACCATCTGACTAAAGCACAATGGACAGCTTCCAATCTTCATTAAACATGCTTGCTCTACTAATATCTTTAACCAAACCAATGTTACCAGAGCATACTGATTGTGAACTGTTGTCATGGCAGCTGTCTGATTTTTCCAAATAATGCAAGTCTTCTATTTTTTCATTGATGATGATTAGCGGGTACATGAGAGTCTTATTTATATTTGAACTTTAGTCTTTGGGAAATGTATAGAAGCATTTTTTATTAGGATTGTGGGCCTTACTGTGCTTCTCACATAGAGGCTCTTATAACAACTGCAGCTTCATTACCTGGTGAAGGTTCTTATTAAAGTGTTAGTAACTCTAGCTACTGGGATACTTTGTCAAGAAGCAAGGACAAACAGAGCATTTTTTTAATCAAATGAGTTTCAGGGCAGTCTCTGTCCATTACATTACCATTCATCCACCTTGACTTTTCCCTCAAAGTCTGCAGGTAAGATACTTAGTCTGGTCATGGTTTCCATTAACTCTCTTAAATCTGGATGAATCTGTAGCATGGAGAAAAAGAAGATAGCCATGTAGAACAAACACTTCTGTACAAATAACATATACTATTCTTTATAAATGACTAAATGGTATTCTTTTTTCAGATTTACAAACAATCTGAGATAATTTAGATTTTATTGAATCATATCTTATTCTTTTTCAATTTCTTTAACAAACTTGGAAATATCTTTCTCAAATGTATGGTAAAATGACATGCAAACTTACCTCATCCATTGCTTTTATCTCTAAGCGTAGTTTGTCCATTACTGTGATAAAAAGCTGCAAGGAAAGAAAAGCTGTTTTAGTAATCGAATAGTTCTTTCTATACAGGGATTATGGTTAATATAGAACTGACTTTTTTCAATAAGACATACTAATCCATTGGACTTAGAGCCCCTCTTTATCTGTTGTACATGTCTTTGAGAAAAACATTTTATATAGAAAGCACATTTTCATCCCAATTACTTTATGGAACAAGCCATGCTGAAAAAATTTAAGCCTTTTCATTTTTTTCATATTTTCCTTTATAGATAGATAGATTATAAGGATAATTACATCATGTTGGGTGCTTTTTATATTAATTTATTTATCTTTGCTGGTACCTTAACCTAGTTTAAACCATAAGCAAAGCATATAATTGTGCAAGAACTTGAAAATTGCTGTGCACTCCAAGGGAAAAGTGTATACTATAGTTAAGTATTTATTCATTAACATTACCGGTAAATATATAAATCACCTGGCCTCATGGGCCTATGAGTTACTGAATTTTGTACATTTACCAAAACATAAAATTAAGGTTAAGCTAGGTAACATATTAAACTGGCATTACTAGACAACTTACTGAAACTATATCTGCTATGCATTTGCTGGTGTTGCCTTTGTCATCTTTAATGGTTATTGGTCTGCCTTCCTTTATTCTCTCCAAGGCTGCAGGGCAATCCATCTAAAATAGATTTTAAAAAATGAAAGATATAGGAATTCAGTGAAAATATAAAAATACATTAAACTGCATCCAGTGTAAACAATTAACATAAATATCACCATTATTACTACAGTTTTTAAACATTAAAGGAAAACAAATTGACAAGGCCATATGTTGCATACTCTAGGTATATCATTTTGGAAAAACAATATGCTTGAACCATAACAAAAAAAATCATTATTTGTATTTTATCTTAGTATATTTTTCTGCATCAACATAAAAATGGTATTTGAGACAATGCCTCAAGCTGTCTTCCCGTTGTAGAGTTGCAAACCCATTAAAACACATTCCTTTTTTATAGTTATGAATTCCATTTGTTTTTCAATGTGAATAACAAGTAGATAAACAATTAACCAACTCAATTTGGGTACTTATTTAAAACTAACAATATTTTTATGAAAACTCAAAATCAAACTGGATAGATCACTTTTTTTTCTTCTGGTACATACCCTATGTTTCTTCATAAACACCTCTATAGTAGCATGGTCATCTCCCTGAACCTGCTTAAAAGCTGCTTTGATTTGTACTAGTAACTTGGAGCATGCTGCAGTATACCTAGAAGAAAACACTGAATTAAACTAGATCACTCATTGTAAACCATCAAGCAGTTTTCATCAGCATTAGCTGAACCAAAACATTCCCAAGCTCTGGTGCAAGCCCATTTACCATTTTTCCTCAATTCTGCATTTTAACATGACCTATGTAACACCTATTATAAGAAAATAAAATGCAACATACTTATTTTTTTCCTTCAAATATAAATTTACTATCAGTTTTTTTTTGTTTTTTTTTTTTAAATCAAAACATTCAGAATCTCTACTTACTCCTTTGGTGTGACACAATCTTTGATATAAGCTTTCTCTAGGCACTGTAGTGTATTGATTACTGCAAACAGGTCTGCCATGTTGTCATATCTGAAAAAGTAAATTTAAGAGGTACAACCTTAACTATATAAACAATTACAAGAAGACTTAATTTTTTCAGAACTTTGGTCACAGACCCACAGTAAGCTTTGTAAATCCTAATGGTTAGCAAATCTTAAGTTTCCTTCATGTAAAAACTGATGTGAGTTATTTGTCAGTACCATTTGATTAGAATAAAAATCTTAGGTTATCTGTAGACATTTCCCAATATTTATCATTTCTAATATATTAGTATTCTTCTTCCAACTATTATTTATGGACTTTAACTCAATTATAAATAGTACAACTTTACAGTTAACTTACTTTTCTCTATCTCTAGATGATCTGTACAGCTTTACCTCCTGAAATGAGCAGAAAATTATCTATTTTTCTTTGAGGGTTTAGACTGGGCTATATCTTAAATTCCAGTTTCAAAACAAAAATAAACTGTAAAACATTATGACAATGATGAAAAATAAACAAAAATAAAAAACATCCTTGTTTAGAGTTATAACAAGACCCTGTTGACTTCTTATTATCACATTTCTGTGTACAGTAAGTTCTTCACTCACCTCATATAATTCTGTTCTATTGGCTGGTGCAGCTGGAAGATTCAAATAACCATAAGATGGCATTAAAACTATGTGACTTTTTAAGTATGATATATTATACAATTATGCAATTATAGACCTAGCTCTACTCAGTAGGTTGAGGGCTATCATAACGCAAGATTCTATCTAAACTTTCTATGACGTATAAAAAGATCAATAAGGCAATTCCAATACGCATATAAAAATTACTGAATCCATGCTGGGTGTGTGTGTGTGTGTGTGTGTGTGTGTGTGAGAGAGAGAGAGAGAGAGAGAGAGAGAGAGAGAGAGAGAGAGAGAGAGAGAGAGAGAGAGAGAGAGACTTACGTTGGCTCATAGAACCAGTCGTTACTGATGTAAACATGGTGTCTTCTTATTCCCCTTTCCCTAAACTTGCTTTAAATGTTTTAGTAAAAAATGATGTGTCCCTAACTTTGACACATCCTATTTTTATTTAGGGAGACTTACTCACTCGCCAGAGGAATCAGATGATAGCTCTAGGTGGCGCTTTAATAGCAATACAAGGTAAACCGAGTGTTTATTGCACAAAATATCTTAGAAATCCCTATTATTTTAAATATTATCGGTCCGAGTGTTTGAAAAAGTTTCAAGTAGATCAACTAATGTATTGTCATTTTACTCTGCACCCTACGAATAGAGTATCCAGGAACGTTCACCATTGAACTTTTCTTATCTTGTAAAATCCGCCACCTGGCATGTTTTGGAAGTAATGACGTCAGTCGACAAGGTAAACTAAGGCAAGAAGTAGGCCACGGACACACTCTCAAAATGGGAGGCTCCGACAGCAAGTTCGATGAACAAGAACTTGAAGACTATCAGGTAGTGTAATGTATTATAACTGCTTTTATTCAGTAAGATAAACTTTTTTCTTTACGTTCCTAATATATAGCAAAAAGGCGTTGAAACCGCTTCAAAACGGGTTTTGGATTCCACAGGTGACAGGTGTAATGGCTGCTTGTTGACAATTACAAAAGATAAATTACAATGCAATTGGCAAGTAACCAAAACAAATGAAAACAATCCAAGACATTTAAATTATCCTGTTATATTCATATTAATTGAAATGTGTTTAGGTGAGAATAAGAAATTGCTTGGTCACCACTTTGATCGGTTAGTGATGAATCTATAAGGGCTCATTCCCATCGATTTGAAACTATCAGTCTACGTAGATCGATCCAACTCCTTGGGGACTCTAGCTGAATCCAATCAAATTGAGAGATAAACATGCCTCTTGTTTCCAAGTAGCACGAAAATTCATGTGTTAGCACTCCTATTGACGATTCTGATACGTTCTGGCTGTGCTAACCAGTACATATCAGAATCTTCAATAGGAGTGCTAGATTCCAATTAAGGTACTGGTATAGTCATTAACTTTTCTGTATTTTACTCATCACCAGGAGAAGGCGTGTTAATCTGTTAAACCAAGGAGTTACAACAGTTGGTTAAACTGATTGCATTAAGCGAGAGTCCTTGTCGAGTTGGATTTATCTATGTAGAGGGATAGTTTCAATTGGAATAAGCTCTAAAACATTTCTGAAAATATAGTCATTAGTAAACTTTTCTGCCACTTTTGTATGCACCATCACGTACACCAGCCCCTGCTTTCCAGATTAAAAGTGGTTTACTCAGTCAATGATTCTTTTTAAAAAATGGAGAATATATGCTTTTTAAGGAAACAAGTATTTATACGCAATTTATATTTAGTTTTTGCTTTTGTATTTTGCCTCATCTTGCACATAATATTACCCTCAGAATGGTTTTGCTTTCCTGCTATCTTTATGTCAGAATAAGCCAGCTGAGTGCTCAAGGTCCATGTAATATCCATGAGCCATGAGCCACAGTTTCATAAATGGTTAATCTGATCACATTTGTCAAAATCTTAGACCTTTCGTGCCTTTTTGTTTTTCAGGAGCTGACATACTTCACAAAAAAGGAAATTTTACAGTAAGTTAATTTATGTCAATGTCTTTAAGACATTTGATTGCAAATTTTTTCATATATGATATACATTGAAAACATTTTTATTGGGTTACATTATATGAGTATTTTTGGAGGACATGACAAGATACTGAACTGGTCAGCTCTTTCCTCTATCTTTTAAAAATGATGATTACTCATTGTTTTTTCTCTATAATTAGTTTTATGCTTTTTATCAACATTTAAAAGAAGATGTAAAGTTCATACATGATAGATATTCAGTTAATTTTTCAAACTTGTTAAGAATCTATCCAAATAAATTACTTTTAAATGCATAACAGCATTAATAAAATTTTTAACCAATTATCTTCGAAATATTTATTTTATACTTTATTAGGAATTATCATTCAGGGTTGATTTAAGACATTTAAATCTATATGACAAAACAAATATTTCTGTACAGATTGGGTGTGTGATAAATTCTGGTGATTTATAAATTTAAATTTGTATCTAGTGTACACAAGAGGTTCACACAGCTGGCCCCAGACTTGGTTGAAGTGGACAAAAATGCCACGCTACCACAAGATAAAATCATGATGTTACCAGAACTAAGGGTAAGAATTAACAAGAGTTAAATTGATGCAGATGAATAAATTCACACCAGCTGAACTTGTTGAACAGACATTTTTTTTTTTTGTTCCCATTTTTGTATTGCAGCACAATTTGTGGACAAGCCCTGTGCATCTGTGCCAATTTTGCACTTTTATAGTTAATTTTGCAACTTATTTTACACTACAAATGTTTCTGGAAAAAAAATTTTATATATTTATTTTTGTTTTAGGTAAATCCTTTCAAAGATCGGATATGTAAGGTATTTTCCTCGAGTGGTGATGGCAGCATGTCGTTTGAAGACTTCTTAGATATGATGTCAGTGTTCAGTGATAATGCACCAAAGAATGTCAAAGTGGAGTATGCTTTCAGGATATATGGTGAGTGATAAAGTGAAAAAAGTTCACATATTTTAGTGTTAGGTTTTAGTGTTACAAATGAATAAATAAAGTAGCATAATAGCATATGTACGGTTAAACTGTTAGTTTTATGTGTAAAAACTGAAGAATGTACATCCTCTTCACAACTTGACAAATCATATTTAATTTTTGAATTATGTGATACTGTATAATATGCCTTGTTATTTCCTAGTTATCAGATGAACAAAAAATTACTGGAGAGCATTAAAGTTATTACCAATAGCTTTTCATGAGGACTGTATTTCAGATTTTGATGAAGATGACATGATCAGTAGCAATGACCTAAAAGAGGTGATAGACAGACTGACAGGAGAACAGAGGCTTGGTGAAGAGGACATGCAGCAGCTCATTGATAATGTAAGTAAGGGGTAGGAACCTTTTATGGGTACTCTTGCAGTAATTTGAGGTGTCAAAGGTTGAAAGAGTAAAAATTTGATTTATATAAAAAGAGGAGCCATTTATTGCCTCTGGTCTGTAATTTTTTAAAATTTCTTGTGGTGTATTGTGTCATCTTTCTAACAGTTAGAAAAAATGTTGAATTTAAACATATTTGAATATAAATGGTATATCACATAAAGTTTTGTGTGTGCTCTTGGTTTTACATGTTCATTCAGACTGAACGAAGCAAGACATTTAGTATAACTAATTAATAAGATAATTGTTTGTTAATTTTTTTACTGTGTGAACATTTGCTGAATTTGATGGGGTGATATTAAATATTTATTAAACATTAAATATTTTGTGGGTCTTTATTATTATTCAGTTTCAGACAGGATTAAGTGTGATGCTCATTCTTTGACTAATACAAAAGAGAGAATTTGTCAAACTTGCACCATCACTTAATAAGAGTTTCATGATGAATGGTAAAGCATGTCAAATAAAAGGCAGTGTTTTTCCTTCATTGTGGAGCATTTCAGCATGACAAGTTGCTGTACGTTCTTGCCAGGGCTTTCTGTGCCAGAGACCTATACAGCAGCCATTTGAATTACCAATTTCTTCAGAATACCCCCCCCCCCCCCCCCACACACACACACACACACACACACACACACACACACACACACACACAAATTTTGACAATTGTGATCACTGGTGGATGGCTTGCAAAATTTTGCAGATGTGACTGCTTAAATTGTTGGGACATGGGGACAAATTGGATATTCCTCAGAAAGTATTTTAATGTATCCTGATTATTTGATCCATACCCAGTTGTGTGAAAGTACATGAAGAGTACTTTTTGAAGATTGAATAGCTTAAAATGAAGGTGAACAGGAAAACATATTGCTGACTTGCATCTGTGGCTGCTGCTGTGATTTTTTGCTCTTCTAATAGCTGTGCAGATGTTTTCATATTCCAGATGCTAGTCCATGTAACAATCAGTTATTCCCAGTGCAGAGTTGAGCAAGGCTTATCGGCTACTCCTCTCAATTATTGCCAATATGCTGCCTTCCTATCATTATTTCTAGGCTTGTTTTCACTTTGTCAGACACTTCAAAAATTATTTTGTTTTAAAAGAGGCAAAGTATTATCACACACACACACACACACACACACACACATTTGCATTTGTTATCCACCCACCCCTTCACATGCACAGCATTCTGGAGTTGTAAGACTCCCATAGAAGTTGTGTTAACATTATTTTTGCCCCATTTGGACTCCATGTAACGGTATCTTTGGGAAAGGTTCTATTCACAGACATGGTTGCATGGTTGATTTATAACTTCAATCAGCTTTTCTCTTGTGTTATTTTCTAACAGATCTTTGAAGAAGCAGATTTGGACGATGATGACAGTTTGTCTTTTGCTGAGTTTGAGCATGTGATATCTAAAGCACCTGATTTCGTCAAGTAAGCACTAGAATGAGTATGGTCCAATAACAAGATTATAGCTTCTCTCCCCCCACCTCTACTGCAATAGTTTTGCTTGAATGCTTTTGATCATTGCTCTTTATGGACAGACACAGTGTGTCTGGACATACATAGCCATCACCTGTATCCTTTGCCTTCATCACTGTGCACTTTCCAAATTGTGCATTTCTCAGCAATGTATTTTCCTCACAACACAATAAAGGAAAAATTGTTACTTGTTAGTTTCAAACCAAAAGAAATGATTCATAGGACCAAAATGCAGCTCAAATTTTTAAAAAGGGTGGATTATTTTTCCCAAACTTTTAAAGTTTTTCATTTTTTTTTTACAAATTGACGTTTTCTAGGTGTGGCTTTGAATTCCCATGAGTCTAACACTGTGTCTGAATGTCCACAATAAAAGTAGTGCATGATTCATACTTTCAGACTGTTATAAGTCACTGCTTCTTTTGACAGTTATATGTCTGTACATTTGAGAGCCTTGCTGCCTTGTTTCTCGTGCTGTATGAGTACATTGCTGTCATGCATGCTGAAAAGTGGATCTGACATTTCAAGTAGCTTTTTCTCTTTAAAACAAGCAAAAAAAGCTATGTATTGCCTGTATACTATTTGGCACTATAGTTTATATGTAAGTCATCCCACTGGTTCAGTGCACACAATCCTGACAACATATTACTAAGCATTTATTTCAAAGTTTCATTTGCTGGGCAGCTTATTATTATTCTGTCATATATAATGAGCATTCATTGTTCTTGCTTTGATGTTAGCAGGAGTTGATATTATTCAGTTGTATATGCATATAATTTAACCATTTGCATTTACAAAGGGTGCTTCTAGTTCATTGTGTAGGTCTTGTTTTCTGTAACACCTGTTGCATTTCTCTTCTGTTGCTACTGTAGATGTTCAGAGCAATAGATATAGATGGAGATAAAAAATTATCATTTCCTGAATTTGACCACCTCGTGTCCAAAGCTCCAGAATTCACCAAGTAAGACTGCTGGGTTGTGCTAAAAATCTTTAGGCATGGATTTATTGTGGACAGACACAATGTATCTGTACATATAATTATCACCAGTATCTCTCACATTGCTGTGTTAGCACTCTTTCCTTGAATTTTTTATTTAATAACACAGTTAAAGAATAATTGTACAACTTAATTGTTCTCAAATTTACAAAAATGATCCATAGGACTAAAATGCAGTTTAATTTGAATGCCAGCCTGATTGGATTATTTATTATTTTTCTTTTAGTTATGAAAAAAAATTTCTTTCTCGTTTTTTCTCATTCCTATGGGTCTTGCATCATTAACACTTTTTGTGCCCTTTCCCTTTTAATTTGGTTGTCCATAATTTTACCGTTTGAACAATTTTTTTCATTAATATGTCTGTCCATTTGACAGCTTTGCTGCCATGTTTCTTACGCTTATCAAGTACATTGCTGTCACGATTAGTGTACTGAAAATTGTATTTTTTCAACATTTGAAGTCAATTTTGGGCATTTTTTTCTATAAAAAAAATAAGAACTGCATATATCTTGTATATACAGGACAGTATATCATTACATCTCTTCGATGTACACAATCCTGACAACACATGTTATTAAGCATGTTTTATTTACAGGCTTCAGTTACAGGGCAGCTTCATATTATTTTATCATATGTAATGGGCATTCAGTGTATTTATTTTGGTGCTAGCAGGAATTGATTTGATTTGACAGATTTTCATACAGCTTGGGCTTTTTGCATGTATTTGCGACTGGCATTTACATGGGTGCTTTTAGTTCATTGTGTAAATCTTTGTTCTCTTTTGCATTTCTGTTCTGTCGCTACTGCAGATATTCAGTGAGGTAGATCTAGATGGAGACGAAAACTTGTCATATGCTGAATTTGAACATGTCATGTCTAAAGCTCCCGACTTCACAAAGTAAGACTTGTCTCGTGATAAACAAGTGCACACATTGGTTTGGATTTTGGTTTTAACTGTGGCAAGCACTTTTTAACTGTTTTTGTTTTTGCATGGTTTTATCTTTTGGTATTATGTCTTTAATGTTTTTTTTTATCTCAATTTGGTATTTGCATGGAAGTTAATGTTTGCATATTGTTTTCTGCATTTTATATTGCGCACAGTCAATTCTTTTATGGAAGCATGTTCTGCTACTTGACACAGTTTTTGTTTGACAATTTTCCTAAACTTATTCTCTCCATCACTAGTGGTTTTGTAATTGAAACACTGGCTTTTTCTTTGATTACCTTATTTATGATTAACATTTTATGCATTATTTATAATGCTCATAGTGTGCTGCCTTAGTAAACACTTGCTTTTTATTGTTTCTGTTATATGAAATAGATTGTGACTCTTTGCAACACATTTTCCTCACTCATCTGGGCTTTTTACTGATTTTATTTATTGCAGAGAATGAAGTGAAGAGTCAGATCACAGTCAAACCTAATGACACATATATTTAGAAACATTAGTTTTCTGTGAAAGTTATTCACAATGTTTGGCCTCTGTTAATCCATCTGTTAAGTCCCTTACTGCATGGTGGTGAAAGGAGAGTGGACATTTGCCTATATGTAGTTTGCTTGCTTATCATTTGTTTTGCAAATGTAAATTATTTATACAGTATTGAAAATGCAGATTTGATTATTCTATTGATAAACTGAGGCTGTATTAATAACTTTTAAGAATTAAAATAAATCTAGTAGTTGTTATTACATAACAGAAAGTAATTTGTTGTAAGTAAGTAATGATTTGTTGTAAGTGTCGTACATAACAAAAAAAACTTTTATATTTCTGTTTATACATTATTTAGAGTGATTTGAGGTAATTTCATATTTTTCTTTTGCTTGCAGTTCTTTCAGGATTCGGCTGTAGATTTACATGGACTACTTCTGTTGCCCACTGGAATCAGTTAACAGCAAAGAGAATTTGTTAACACAATTGCTTATTCAAGACTGCATTTTCTGAAGGAATAGAAATAAGATCACCGAAAGAGTTGTAAGAGTTTTTCTCTGTTTTGAATTCAAGTGGATTTATCTTTTGCAGTTGTGTGTCAGTATTATCCAAGGTACATTACTAATACTAGTTGTAAATCTAATTTTCCACTGATATATAATGATACAAAATGGAAATTGGACTAGTTAGTAAATATTCAAAGCCAATAATGGTTTTCATTTAACATTGTGAGGTAATTTTAATTAAATACATTTGAACAAGTTTGTAGACTGCAGTGCATATGTTGTATCTTACATAAAAGCCGTACAGCTAAAAATGGATATGTTTAATGAACTCATTGAAGGTTTCAAGACAAATTGTAATTATATTATGAAATCTCTATTTTCATTTTGTGCTAGAATTTATTCATACTTTATTCTATGTCATACAGATACATAATTAAATCTGTTCATTTGCTTTTTTTACTGAATCATTATTGTTAATCGGCAATTTATTTATCTTTATGCATTTTAATTAAATGTAATGCATTAAAATGTAATGCATTCAGGTGATAAGGATTTTATGATTTTCATGAACTCTTTTCGTTTTGTCTTCCATGTAACTGTTTATATGACTATTTTACCAAAAATTTCATATAAATCACAAAATGTTAAAACCACATCTTTGTGGAATAGTGAATGGTTCCATTTGAGAAAGTATATCATGTTTGGTATCATCATTCTGTTTATCTCGTCATATTTTAACACATTAAAATACGTAAATAAAATAACTTATTACAACACAACTAGTACTTATGATAACTTTAAGTTTTGCTGAACACTTTTCTTTAATCATGGAAATAGTGCTAGCATGTTAATGATATATATATATATGCAAAAACACTCTGTAAAAAATAACAATCAGTGAAAACACCTTTATTTTAAATCCCTAATTTTATTCATTTTAATCTAAATAGAAAAAATATAAGTAATTTAAAGTACACAAATTGAAAGCACTTGAATCACTACACATAATATCACATATATTAATAGTCAGTCTGAAAGTGTTCGATTTCATAGAGTATTGCCTAAACAAAATGCAACTGAGCATTACAAGTACATTGTACCTCTTAATTGCTAAATTATTGAAAAAAAATCTTCGTATATATTGTCTACTACAATTTAAACAGAAATAATGAGATTCACTTCTATGAGCAATTGTCAAGCTATGATATAAAATGAAATAGAGGTTTAAAATATTTGGCTTATGATGAGCAAGAATTGTTAAGACTGAGCAAAATATTTTGAACCACATTTAAATTCTGGTCATTTTAAATAGGCAATTCCTTCCTTTAATGTAATATCAATTCAGATTGTTTTTTTATCACCATCATTGAAACAGAGATGTAAATTCCACTTACAAAATTGACAAAATGTTAGATCAGAAATAGATCTTGTTAGCAATCTTACAAAATCATTAATTTGAGACTGCTTCCCAGCTACTGAACTTGTTGATATATTTTTTGACTTAGGAAAAAAGGTTGCAAAGTCCAACAATATGAAAGATGAGACACCACATATTTCTCAAATCTTCAATTTAGTTCCAAGATTGGACTTCAGCATTTCATACTCTTAGTAAATGATTAATTATAGTAACAAAGGAAAATCAAGAGTCTGTTAATAAAGCCAGAGCCATAAAGTGTATCGCCTAAAAAATTGTTCCTGGCTCCCCATTCCCTTTTCAATGTCATGGCTATCTAATGGTAGATGCTACATGCTTGATGTTTACCAAAATTGTGGAAGAGTTTGCATGCATTTTTATCTCCTCTCAAAGACCACATCTCTCATTGCTCTGTCCCTTACATTGGATTTTGGTACTATCCTCTTGATAAGTGGATCTCTGTTGGACAGGTTCTTAATGTCCGGTAAGAAAATGTCATCTGTGTGACGCGTTGACAGAATCATGCTGAAAAAAATGTGATAAAAAAATTCATAATAATATCTATAAAATCTTTAAAGTTATAATGTTTTTTTTTCTAGTAAAATTTGATAAAAGCTTAGCTGTTCAGTTATTATGTGCATTAAGAAAAACTTTTCAAAATATTTTGAAACTAAATCCATTTTTACTTTGAAATTTGAGTAATGTGTGAATTGCAGGAGGCAAAATAAAAATGTGTATAATTGAAAAAGTGCTCAAGAGAAATGAGAAATTTTTTTGTGAAAACAATGTGAGAATTACAGTTATACTACATTAATACTACATAACATGCATGCAAGTTAAAAGTTCAAAAATTTCTACTACTAGCATAAGTCAAATAAACGGTGCTGAAGACCAAAATAAAACTACATATTAGGAATATATATGTTCATACAAGTAATAACTTTACCTGGGTCAAAGTGCAATGATACGTCAAAGTGCAACATTATGTCATGATAAATAAGAAATTGAAAAGTATGTCCTAAGATCTGCTGATAAATTAAGTGTGATTGATTTCTGCAAGCAATAAACCACTATTAAAGAATACATAAATGATAAAGCATAATCTTGAAGTATTGCATATGGGCTCTACCGGTACACCTAATTACTACACTGTATCTCTACTGTAACTGCACAAATCTATTAAAAGCAGGATCTGCCAAATATGCAATGTATTGACACATCTAATATAACCACTAATCCCCTGCTAAAAGCTTTTAAATAACTAGAGGAACAGAGAGGTATGGAAGCTTCTGATATGTGTACCACCAACTGTATTGAACATATTAATTGGCCTATGCCACTCAAAGGCATATTAACAAGAGCAAGAGCATATTGAAGATGAAAAGATTTTGTGATCACTGTATGTTTTGTCATCTGAATTGGGACAAAGCAATAATCTAAAATTATTTTTAAAAATCCAACCTTTGTGAAGTTATTATATTCATTAAAAATCAATATAAAAGAGAAAACACTGACATAACTATTTCGCTTGGATCGCTCTACAAGGACCTCTAACCCTAAGCAGCAACAAAGTTATAAAGATTATTTGGTTAAAGTTTGCTAATGACTGCCATACCTGTGAAATCGCAGCACATGAATCCAAGATCAGGCAGACTCAAAGTAACCTAAACATGGCTGTCAGCCAAATTTGAATGCAGTTTGTGAAGAGCATTGATAAAAAGGTTACATGAAGGGGCAAAATATGCAGAATATGCAGACAACTTTGGAGTAAGGTAAAGGGTATATAAATGCAGGCACCACCAGCTATTTGCAGGTGGTCACAATGATAAATACTATGCATGCAACTACATGTAACTAAATCTTATCCTGACTAGCATTGCCACACTTAAATCATGCTAGGTGTTCATATTCTTACCTGTAATACATCTGGGCACAGTGTGTGAAGAACGTTCTACAGCACTTTTCAGTGAACATTTATAGAATAATTGCTAGATGATGCTTAGAAAGCATGTATGATTTTGTAAACAAGGAATTTATTTTGATAATATCTAAGCAAAACCATAACCATTTCCAAAAGTCATATTAAACATTTTATAGGCATTCAGTGATATTATGCAAAATTATTATTATTATTATTATTTTGAAGAGTAAAAATAGCACTTCCTAAATTACATCCCCATTCATCACTACAATATATATGGCAGAAAAGGCAAACACATTTAGTCATCAAAAGTCTTTGGTTTATTATAAGCTATACATATTGCCAATAAGAACATTTAGCAGCAAGTTAGCAACAAACACTTTGATTGTTCAAAACATAATTTTTTATTTAATGACACCAATTCAATTTTATAGATGGCTAAATTTCAAAACTTGCAGAACCTGAAATTAATTTGTTAAAGAATCTTTTGTATAGAGTCTGACTGACATGTGCCTGAACTATTTAAATGCTGTTTGCTCATATCAGGTGCAGAAAAACTATCAGCCTGTCTCACAAATTCTATTCTACACACATTATTAGTTTGGAAAATGACTTAAAGGATTAGCTATTGCAACAAATCTGTATCTGCATATACATGAACAGCACCTATATTCAACCACCATAGCTCAGTGGTGTTGTCTAATACATTAATAAATGTCCATCTCATAGACATTTTTTACCTTTTCATGACTCATTTATAACTATTACATGAATGTCAAAAATACAACAATTCTACTTTAATATTACAAACAAACAGTTAGTATACAAAACACAGAAGTGTATATAGTGATTCTTAGTCACTGTTGTTAGCATGAGATGAAATGATTAAAACTAAAATTGATTAATTAACTCAAAAACTTTGTACAGTTGTAGTTGTTTCTGAATGTTTTACACTATGCATCACTCTTATCCAAAAACATGTACACAGTATTATTCATCAAACCTAAAATAAAAAATAATAATCAAACAGTTTCCACTTTATTCCAACACTTGAAATGATAAATAATATCAGCCAGTTTAGTCAGTTTGACGAACTCCACTCAGATCAGTGTCAACAAAGCAACGACATCAACAGCAGGTGAGTCAGAGAAAAAGACCAGCACACCCGTACTTACAATGGTACATGCTGTTTAAACTGATCTTCAGCCTTGACTGGTAACATGAATGCATCTACACGCTTTACTGTAGCACTCTTGTCATTGAAGTGTTCTCTGTGTTTCTGGGCAAGCTAAAGGGAAAAAACAACACTTTTGAATGCTTTCTTAAATATCAATAGTCAGTAAATTAGATGAATGTCACAATGATTTAATATTTCAAAGTAACACCTGGTTTATATAACTTCCAAGATAAAAAAATATCCAATTAAAGCACTGAAACATCAGTATCCTATTAATTTCTGTCTATATTTTTCTAGATTTAAGTGTGGGGGTAATTGAAAGGGATCAAAACTGACCTTATCAAATTGCTTAAGTTCCTCATTTCTATCATGGTCTACATTATAGAGTCTGTACTTGGGAGCATCCAACCACCTGTCTCTTGTACGTGTCCTAGCTCCTATTACAGAAGAGGGGTCGTGTGTGTAGTATGTAGGGAACCTGCCACCCTTGCACCACACACTCTGGGAGCTGCTCAGCACTGTTGATCTGTAGTCCTGGAAGTATTTTGCTGTGGCGTTGCCATAGGTCTCTCCATAGTCAAACTTCAGGGCTGGACAGTGACCACGGTATCTGAAAGAAATTACAGAATGGGATTATTTTGGGCACTTCATTAAAATCTGTTACTCTAGCTATTGAAGTAATGGCACAGTAATGGTTGATTTTGCTTGATATGTAATTTTAACACGGACTGCTACTTATTACAACCAACTATTTATAATCTTTCCCATGCCTTCTATTTTGTTGCCTCAGTCATTGGACTTATAAATATGCTAGATACTTACTGCATTTATGTAGCATATAATACCAAAACTAAGAAACTTCAATTTGTTTGTTATTTGCAACTGTGAATTGTCAGTAAAGTGCCTAAAACTTTTAAAATTACCACATTCTGTTCTGGTATGATAATTAAGGTAATGCACAGCCAGGTTGATGTAAAAATAACAAGGACCAAACTTTTTTTTAACTTTTGCTAAATAATATAAACATTTTAAAGATATCAGAAATATAATGTAATTTTTTTAATTTTTGACATCTTATTTTTATTTATTTATCTTTTTTAATTTCATATTATTATTTTAATGAGATAATGTCCACTGGGCCTATATTTTGGGGGTATTTTGAAAGAACAAATATAAAAAGGGATTACAGGAGTTGATAAAACAATCGTATAGGTTTATAAACAAAATAAATTGGGCTTAAGCAATACGGCTAAACCATATAGCCTCTATTAGGCAAATACACTACGCGGCAACAAGACGGCAAAGACTATTTGGGTTTTACTTACCCTGGCATAAATCTTGGAGGAATATAAGTGGCATTGTGGGTTGTTACTAATGTCCCGGCACTTCTCGACATACTGGATCTTGATGACACAATTAAATCCTAGTATTTTCAAGAAATTGCACGAAAGGTATATGGCAAATGAACACACTTCCCGTTTCCACGCCGCGATTGTTTACGTGTGCCACCTCGCAACCAGACTCCATACATGCGCACTAACAAATAGATGCGATCGATATATGTCGTGATCTGCATAAATACACAATGTTGGCATTTATACCATTATAAGTGTGTATTTTGTTCATAATACATAGTTATTTTCATTTATTTTTATAAGTTTTGGTGTTGAATATTAAAATAAAGAAGGCGCGGACTTATCTATGGTTGTCAACAGCAACCTACTTTTCTTCCTTCGGCCCAAAAGATTGCGCAAAAAAACAACCAAGATACGCCAAACAAATAGTGTTTTCGAGAGAGAACACGCTCTATGCAGCACTCGTCGTAGATAAAGTAATAAACGTATATTTGCAAATGCAAATCAAGTTATCTCTGAATTTTTTTCTAATTCCATGCTGTTTATTATTTCTTTCTTGGTGTGTGTGTGTGTGTGTGTGTGTGTGTGTGTGTGTGTGTGTGTGTGTGTGTGTGTGTGAGAGAGAGAGAGAGAGAGAGAGAGAGAGAGAGCGCACTTAATTGATAACTGATAAAAAGAAAATTCAAAATTATTTTTCAAAACAGGCACCAAATTAATAATTTGTTCAAAACAGAAGTTTTAGATATAACTGAGAATAATTTTAAAGACAATTTTTATGATTATTTCTACATTCATTAACTTTATATAAATTTTTGTGTGCTTTGAAAAGAACAGATATAAGCTCAGCCAAACAAAAAATTGTATTTTCAATGTACTGTGCAGGAAGACACAAAATTTCAGAATCATCAAACTACATACTCAGTGTTTTTCAGACTTGTGAGTTCAACCCCTAACAAGGAGATTTTGGTTCGGTTTTGTTTACCTGTCAGTTAGCAACATTATGAGAAAATTGTGGACAAATATTGATAAAACATTCAGAAACTAACTGGAGTTGACCAAGTAAGAAACAATCAGATTTTGGTGGTGATCTATTGAATGACTAATAGTTAATTATTAATAATTTCAGGATTCAAGATTACTAGACAAACATGTAATATGAAAGGGATAACAACTAACAACTCTGCCCCCCCCCCCCCAAAAAAAAAAGGGATTCTCCGGGGGTAAACAACAATTTTCCCATAAAATGTTACCAATGGTTAATGAATCCACTCCAACATTCAAAATTAGTCCGTCTTTTTATTCCTAAAAGTTTTTTAATTATCTCTCAATTAAGAGATTATTACTGAGGAATAGCTATCTATGAAGGTCCACATGGTCTGATGGGAAGCACAGATTCAAGAATAATTGTGATTTTTGTGGTAAAATGGAATATATCAATTTCATGTTTCTGTGAGTTGTTTACGGTATATATTTATTGTGAAATGTGAATCTCATACGAACGGTATGAACAAATGGGTGTTAAGAATGGAAATAACTAATATGAAACACAATACTATTTACACATCAAATATAAACATAACTTAGCATTTCGGGCCGTTTAAGAGTGTATTAGGGTCTACCAGCACCATATAAAAAAGATTTCATTCCACTTTAATTTTTTCCTTTTTTTTCTTTGACACTGTTTATTCATTATTTTTATCGTACATTTGAAATTCTCTAATGAAGTTACGATTAGTTTAAAATCTTCTAACTGGACATCCGTCATTCCACTTCGACAGCTTCCGGGTTTTTAAAAATTATTACACGCGTTTATAGCCAAATGCTAAACGTGTTTTGGTTAGTTAATCGTTTGGGTTTCCCTCAAACTTGACCAATAGAAATATACGTACTTTATGGTATGTCTCGTGCTTTCTCGCGATAAGAAATCAAACGACGCGATTGGTCCCATTTCGAACGGTGTCAAACATTTGAAAAGATCTGGGTCAAGATGACTCGATAGGATTAAAACATTTTTTAAAAACCTGAATAGTAAGTATTTTTCGAACATTTTCGCTTGTCTGTCATTTTTGAAAGCATGAGAATTTTGAATGCAATAAATTCCTTAAGATTTCAGGCAAAGGAATTTTAATAAAATACAACTGACTGATATCATTGTGAGCACTCACTCCCATTTCACCAAATTTCGGAGTTGTTTCTTACTTTGGTACTATTATTTTGTTATAGTTATGCTAGGGTAATTCATGTTACCAGTGATGTATTTTTATTTGTCATTTAATTCGAGGTCAGGCAACTAGAATGAACATCTGTGGACAAGAACCAGAAGGTGACATAGCCAGGAAGACGTTTGTTGTAGTTCTTAACCATGAACGAGGGACAGAAGAACACCATGGTACGTCATCCAACCATTACCCAAATTACACAAATTTGACAGAAGTTCAAACAAACAACAATCATATCACTGATCAGAGTACAGCATGTAACGCTGTAAGTAAAGGGCAGTGGCATCTGACAGTCTTACCCTCACAGCAGCAAGCGGCAGGTTATCAGGAAAAGCAGTCTGTGGAATGCCAGAAGTTCGTTCACTCTTCGTTAGTTGGCACAGGAAATATCAACACAACATCAACCCCCAGTATTATCAACAGCAACAAGGGGCAGTACATGAAGAAACTTGTTGTTGTACCCCTTGGAGAGAAGTCATCCAATCTTAGGTCCAGAGCTCTGGAATCTATTAACAAAGATATCCAACAACATGCAAATGAAAGTAACTTAGCAAATGATGGTCACATTGTGACTGAAGAAAGCAAGCTGCAAGAGACTGTCATTGAAATCACTAAAATTGGGGAGCCTCAAGTTGCTTATGAAGGTTTGCCCATGTTTTCCAATGGAGGTATCAAGACAGGATCCATAGCATTTGACTTCAAGAAAAACTCTCCAATAACAACTTTCAGTAAAGACCAAAATATGATATGCCAAGACGCAGGTAGGTCAGTTAGGCAGGAAGAAGAATAACATCTTCATGTATCTTTCTTATTTGAAATTATGAAAGCTGGTTAGCTCTTGCTAAGCATATCTTAGAATTGTAATGAGGTTCTGTTGACTAAGTAGAAGAAATTAGATAACTTATTATTTTTTTTCTTGAAAATAAGCTTTATTTATATTCAATCAATTCTTTTTTTTTATCAGTACTGAAAATTATTTTGTTTAGGAAATTCCCCAACCATTTTGGACGAGTCTCTGACCAACATTCACTGGTTGGGGGACATGACAGGAGACAACTTTGCCAAGATAAACAAAGCTCCCACCAAACATTATACTACGGATAAAGATGTGAAGAAAGTAAGTACAAACTGGAATTTTAAATGCTGTTTTATTATTGTCTTTAGAGTGTTTTATTAATTTGATAACAGGTATTTAGACATTTTTATTTGTATAAAACAGAAAAAAAAGAAAACTAAATGGTTCTTAAACAAGAAAATTTTGGCCACAAACAGTGTACCATAATATCAAAAGTTCATTCTTTTTGTTCTTGAATACTGACACTTTATAAAACCATCAAAGCAAAACTGAATAGAATGCTGTTATTTTCTTTTCCAGATGAATCGAGAGTGTGGTCCTCACAAAAGACCAGCCTACTCCTATATGCATCTGATCCAAATGGCCATTAACAGCAAAGAGGACAAGAGGATGACTCTCAGGGAAATTTATCATTGGATTGAAAATACCTTCTCATTTTACAAGCACACTGCCAAGCAAGGTTGGAAGGTAATAAACAGCAATGTCTACTGTAACTTAAATATGTTAAATGGTCTGTTATAAATAATAATCCAGTTAAAATGGCCTCCTCTGCTTAGCTGAAAGATAATAAACCCTGTTTATCAAACATTTAATTTGTTAATAAAAAAAAAATTAGCCACTATCATTATCAAGGTCAACTGATCTGATTATTTATTTAGTTATTTTATTATTTATTTATTTTATTTCATTTATTTTTATTTTTTCAGAATTCAATACGCCACAATTTGTCATTATATGATTTGTTTGTGCGTGAGAAGACTACAGCCCCGGGAAAGCATGGTTCCTACTGGACCCTTGCATCAGACTGCTCCAGTTTTAGACCACCTCCAGAGTTTGCTGTCACAGGTACAGAATTTGTTAGTGTTTCCTTAGGATTGTGCTGTGGACCCTCACTTGACACATTTTGCTTTTTTAGTATCCTGTCTACATGTAACACGTACTTTTGCACACGCATTTTATTTCTTAATAGAAAATTATTTGAAATGGAGTATGTTTGCAATTAACTGTTTAACATTGTGCCTGTGCTGCCTTATTCAAAAAGTTGACTTTATAAGATATCTGACAACTTATAAGGGAAACTAATCAAGACTGGGTGTGCTCACTAACAGCAATTGAAGTTTGATGTGATATTTATTGTAGCACCATCTAGAGCTGATGCTGATACATCCTGTGTGTTATTTGAATCTGTGACCAACTCTCCTGGCTCCTCGCAGCCAACTCCTGTGGCCACCTCCACCCCCTCTCGGGCAAACCCCCTGCAAGTCCAAGGGGGTGTGCTAGGGCAAAGGACATGTACAAGATACAATTCTTCCAAAACAGGGCTGAGAAAAGGTAGTTAGTTTGGTATGGCTCTCAAAATGGTGCCCTGTGTTTAGGATTCATGATGCACTTTTTTTTTTTTAATTTGAACATTTAATTATGCTGATTTAAGAGTTATGCACAAAAGCTAACTAATAGTGAGACTTCTAATTTCTTTTTTTTAAACTAACATACTGATGCAAGGCTCAGGCTGTCATATGTAATTTTTCCAAACTATTTTAAATATTTTCTTTAGATGGTTAGCAAAAACTTTTTGGATTTTGGATAAGACAGAAAATATGCAGGCAGGGTCATGCTGAGGTCAATGCAAAATGAATAGAAATCTGTTATTTTATACTGTTTATATTTTTTGCCTAATGTTATTCTGTCAATATAGTATGAATAATGAAATAGACTGCATAATTTTTCGCCTTATAACTGCTGTTATCTACACTGCATTTTTTTTTTCATTTTAGCACCAGCACCAATACTTCCAAGACCTAGTCCTCAGACATATGCTTTGATTCCCATCCCCAACTTTGTCTCAGTTAATATGGCTGCCACACAGCTGTCACAGATGTCTGTCAGCGCTGCCCCGCTAACAACAGCAGGCAAGTTAAAAAGACATGATGATACATTGTCAGCAGCATTTCCTTTTTTTCATTTAAATTATAAATATATATATATATATATATATATATATCTGCTTCAGTCTTGTGCTTTGAAAAAGGTTTTTGGTTTTTAATAAAATGATGAAAAAGTTGGGAAATTACCTGCAAGCTGAAATATTATTTTATATATGATAAACAACAAATGACTGGTAATAAGTTTTATTGTTAATTTTTTAATGTAGCAAGAAATATAATATTTATCCTAACTTTTATCTGTCACTCTAGATTTTTAGTGCTAGAAACCACTTGTTTACTTTACAGGGAGCAAAGTGGATCCGGGTCCTCCATCCAATCGCAAGCGCCCAAATAGCAGCCTAGAGAGCCAGGCTCCACGAACCAAACATGTCAAAATAGCACCAAATGTCCAAGTGTACGATGAAAACAACATCATTACCCAGGCATGGTTAAATGCCAGCTGTGGGGATAACATCAGCATGGAGATGAATCGCAGGTATGACTCTGGTATAGATATGTCCTCAGGAAGATCTGGCAGTGATTGCAGTATTGGCGAGATGCCAAAGTCTGCTCCATGGCAGATTTCACCTAAACACAAGAAATGCCGTCGAAGGAGGACCAAGAGCCGTCTGGTTAGAACCAAAAGCTCTTCATTCCTAGGAGGTCAGGAGGCAGATGGTTTGACTTGCAATACTCTTTCAGATTCCGCCTTGAAAAATATTTTTGAAAACCTTGAGAATGAGTTTACATCCCCCATCAGGAATCTACTGAAGACCCCACCAAAGCACAGGGACCCTCTTTCTACCTCAACCCCCTACAAAGGGATGTGTCCTGATGTAGAGCTTGTTTCCCCTATAAAGGGACTGACCCCCCTTCGCAACTCAAGTAACCTGTTTGACAGTGCCATCTTTTCACCACTGTCACCAGGAGGAGCCCATCGTCAACAACACAGTGACAACATGAAGATCTCTTCTTCCACTTACCTAGAGTCTAAATCTCCAGGTTTTGGTTCACTGGGAGATATTGGAATACCAGGGTTGACACCCATTAAGCCCAAACCTGACATTTTCAACAACAGTTTACAGATGGTGAACAACCAAAGTTTCAGCAAAATATTTGCTGACATGGGACCCCTGGAAACACTCTGGGAGGAAGGAGATTCCCTGCCAATAGATCTCAGTTTTTCAGCCATTAAAACAGATGCAGAGACTGAAGAATGCTTATAGTATAAAAGTTTGCATCAAGTAATGCCCTTGCACTGAAAGAACTGCTGGTGAAAAAAGGTTTAGTTTGTCACTGGTATATTAGTAGAGAAAGTTTGATGTATTTACTACATGAGTGCATGAGGCTTAGTGATTATCTGGCTTAAATAGTGTGTAAAATGTTCATATATTTAGAAGCACTGTGTGTGTCATGGTGTGCCTGTAGTTAGCTAACGTCAAGTGTTTGTGATATATCTGCTCAAAATTAAGAATCAGGTAGCAGCAGGGTCTTCTTATTTTATTTCTTAATTTGTTTTCAAGAATTGTTATCAAATACTTCAGTGTCAAACCCTTTTATGGGACTTCAGCTTATTTAATTCATGAGCTTGATATAAGTATCTCCGTGTTTGAAGATTAATTTTACAAGACTGTATTACATAATTTATTTAAAATATGTTTAAATATATTGAAAACCATAATGCTCCTTGATGTAAAACTGTCCATGGATGCCATTTATGGTCATAGCAGTTTTGTGATCCTGCCACTAACTAGAGTAGTAAATTTGAAACAATTGTATTTCAAGAATACAGTTTAGCATAATCGAAATCTAAGAGATTGCTACACAAAATGGTTTGATAGATGATTACATTCTTAGAGCTCATTTGATGAGATGCACTGTGTTTTGTTTAAACCTATCCAATTCTTTTTTTTTTCTTTTTGATTGACAGTATTAGTAAGTTAATATATTGTATGGGCTTAAGCACCAGAATATTTCTTGGCCAAGGTATTTATATGCCATGATTTTTGTTTTAAGAGAGAAGCATTTTGAGTTGAAAGATTTTTTTTTTAATCTTCAAATAATCTCATTTAGTCCAACTCACAGCAGCATGTTGGTGTAAGAATCTTGCTTTGGGGCAATGAAAAAAATTCATTCATTGATCACAATATATCTTGATTAAAAAATGGCAGTCATAGAAAAATTGTAATCTTCTTAAATTAAATATTTTTGCATGCCTAGGATACAAATTCTGTTCTAAGATACATTTTCAAAAATATGTGTGCTCTGTATAAATAACCCCACATGAATTAATGGAAGTTAAACATATTTTTTAAAAACATTTATTCTGTATTTTTTTTGTAAGATTTAATTTTTTTCCATTTATCAAATCTTGGCCAAAATCACTTCCCTACATATCTTCAGTTTGCCAAGGTTCTGCACTTCTTTATTATGTCAACCCGTAGAATTATATTTTTTGTAAAGTTATTTTGACTTATATTTAGTTATTTTATTTTTTGTATTTTTCACTTGTAGTACAATAAAGTACTTCAAATGTGATTAATATAACAGATTGTAGTATGTCCAAACATCCTTTGCATACGTAACCATTCACTCGATTTCTGCCAAATGGAGACAAATTTGGCAAATGAAATTTTCATGTGGAATTTTTGAATTTGAAACTATAATAAACAAGTAGTGGACAGTCCTGAGAGGAAATGGGACCCTGACGCGAAGCAATTCTAAAAGACGTATAATAAGAAGTAATAGTGAGTGATAGAAAAAAAAACGTCACCAAGAACTCGTTTAATCTTTTGATGCCAAAATCCTGCAGAGACCTTTCATTTTATCGGCGAATCGATGGCTCTTCTTACCCGTGTTTGTTTTGTCTCGTGAAGTTCAAATACTTTGACTGAAATAGCAACTTGTCATTTCATCATTAATTTTATCTACCTTGTCTCAGACATCAGGAAACTGCCTGTACGACAGGTCGTGCCTTTTTTCCCGCAGGTCCTCTGGATGGTCAAGTTTAAGTGGAAATTCAATACATAATCGTTAATCCCACATAAACATAAGACTAGCAGAAATAAAATACTTCATTCGAGCCAGCACAGAATTGGAAGGATCCGCATATTTCTTGTAGTGCAGGTCCTCTGGAGTTTCTCCAAAGTTGTCCCCGTGTCTGTAGTCCCCCCAAGAGTGAGGATTAATTTGGGTCATGCGTCTGAACTGGTCTAATTTATGACACACAGAGTAAATTTAACTGCCGTGTTGGTTTCCTTAGAAAAATCCACTTCAAACTAGAAATATCTACTTTGTAAGACTAGTACAATGCTCCTTAAATCTTTACCAAAATATAAGATTTCATGAGAAAATTTAGCAATTGTTTGAACAAATATAGTACCACCATGAAAATTTTGCATCATTTCCCAACACATGCTAATTTTTTACACATGCTCCTGTGAATCCAGGCCTAAAACAGGGATAAAAAACATTAAACAATGGTTTAGAATTATCACTGCTTTCACATAACTATTGCAAATATCATCTTGAGTATGCTGCAATGTTCTAAGTTACCGAGTCCCATCCTCCGTGTTACATCCCTCGCCACCCTATACCTACTTCATTCATGTTCCTATAACATTCCTTTCCAAAATTTAGCTATTTCATGCAGCTTTTTTTTTTTTAAATGATTATTCTGAAAGTAGACAAATAGATGCTAAAAGCTGGCAACAAGAAAGCCATGATTTATACCACACCACATAGTGATGTTGTGCAAAAAAAAAATTCAGTTTATGTAACATCGCCAGGATACATGTAGCGGCAGGACGCATGACAGTGGCGGATTTAGAAGGGGGGGGGGCAAGGGGCTCCTGACCCCCACACTTCGGTTTCTGAAAAAAATATCACACCAATATTCCCCTTTTGAAATAAAAATTTTGACTAGCTGAATCATAGTTCTAAACCGTACCAAAGGGCACCGTTTGCACTCCAAAACACCAAAAATTTTTCAGGGCCCTTGAGCAGGCCCCGAACCCCACACCAAGGGGGCGATGGTTGGCTTCGCGTTTGAGGCCTGTCGTTCCGGACCTCTTCAAATAATCCCGGATCCGCCCCTGAAACCCATCAATTTAGGAAATTTATCTTTAATAAGAATACAAATATGTATCGGCTAAAATATTTGTTTTCATAGTTTTTTGTCTATTAAGGGTAAAGGGTAGAAATAAGGGAATGATCATACCTTCAATTACTCAATTTTCACAATCCCCTGTTATTTGCCATAGATTGACATTACTAAATAGGCTTCATCTTTAAGTAGAAAAACAATCTAATTCTACGCACATCACACCATTGAAATCGAAAAGTAATTAACGGTACATGTTACATCAAGTGTTACTTCTTTACGTCCAATACTTAATTTCTCAGATCATTGGCCTTACCTCCATTTTCAGAGGGGGGCACCACCTGTAACTCTCTGCCGTCTATCCATAGCCTGGCCACCATATCCCACGATGTCCCCGCCTTGTTTTCTTGCTGCGTATCTCTAGCGGGTATTGAACAGGTACATGTAGTCTAAGTATCGCTTACATTCAATTCCATGTGGTAAAAATGAAAACTCCACGCCAGTCAGAAAAATATGCTTCGTATAAGCTTTGTAATTTCATGTTAAGGTTATTTAATCATTTTGGCTTTCAACTTTTTTACTTCTCACCCCAACCCCTGAACCCGTTGAGGCAGATTGTTTAACTCCATCTTCAGCTAAAAGTATACTTTTTCATTTTAGTTAATAGAGACTCAGTCTGATAACGTCCTCTTCATTTTATGGTTGTATACTTTTTGTTAATCGTTTTTTTTTAAATAAAAGACCATTTGGGTAATTGTAGTAGATGAAGATTATCAAAATGTACTAAATTTACTATAAGTTAACCTTTTACCATGAAACCTCCGTGTACGCAGGTCATACGTTGCCCTGAGCAAACAACCTTCTTCTGGGGTTCGCCTCCCCCCCTTTTCCGGCTACAGACCTGTTTATTTTGGTAATTAAACAACTTAAAATATCGCAGGAGCTGAGGGAGGTTACTCCCTACCTCCACCCCCCCCCCCACACCACACACACACACACACACACACACACACACGGAAGTTTTTTAAACCATGCCAGTTCTGAACAGTGAAAAGGGGGACTATGGAGCCCTGCATGCCATCTTCTTTCAAGCAAATATAAGAAGTAGTTAAAATATTTGAGCAAATGTAAAAAGTAACTAAAACATTAAATCACACCAAGTATATAATAATTTTCGTTATCCTTTCTCCTTGCAAAATTAATTATGCTACAAAAATACTGGACAACTCCACATAAATGTTTATAGCAAAATGAATTATCACTTTATCTTTATTATCATCATCTGTGAAACAAAAAATGAAATGAAAGTTTCTTTAAAGTGCATTGTGGATCAGTGTATATTGTGAATAAGTGTTCCAGTGAATGCGGACAAGGTCGTCCAATGATGGCCTGGGGCAGGTTAGTAAACTTCAGGTTGATATCATGTCAACAAGATGCAAGAACACTGTCAATCATAATTGGGGGAGAGGCATGCGTGGTTTCCCTCCAAAAACTATTATAGCCTAACATTGATTATTCCCTCCGAGGTAAATGCGCGTTTTTTTCTGTTTAAACAAAAAAGTTTAGGTATGAAACGCTGAATGCATTTCAAACGTAGGTGTATATACAATGCAATAATGAAATTTGGGTCTCACTCTCACACGACACCCCCGAGTTCAAACTGACAAGATGGTGACGACAGCAACGCCCCCAGCCGACAATCTAAGATTCGAAGTCTAAGAGCGGGCAATTGTGAAGCGGTTGCGAACATGTTGCGTTTCACTCCAGAGGAGTACAAAGGACGAGAAGTGAGAGAGATTTTCTTCGGGCAACCGCCTTCAAATCTCACGTGATCCTACGCCAATGCATCGAACCTGAGGATAGTTTCTTTACTAGCACAAAACATCGAATGTTTCGTCTTTTCCTTATGGTGTGCTTCTCTGAATTTGACCCTTCAATCCACGCGAACTCGTCGCTCTGGGAAATGTACATGTACAAATAACACTCAGCTCTTAGACGTCGAATAAGCGCTGAAGAAAAAATTAATCGTAAATGGACTGAAATCCAAGCTACTGGAGATGGGTTAGTACCACCATGTCATACTCTCTTTTCATTTCTGTCATATTCCTCTAACCCCATGTTTCTAGGTCGTTTTTGAAAGTTGAATGCCCTTTGAGGCTAGAACTAAAACCTTCATATGCCCTATTTAGGTCACGCTTGTTTGGTTGTCGTGTTTCTCTTCTAAGGCTGATGTGCATTTTCTCTCAAGTGTGAGTGAGTGTTTTTCCCTTTTTTGTTTTTATGTACAGACACAGACATTGACTACTTTTTGGATCAAGAATTCAAGATTAGTAAATTTTTTAAGAGGGGAATAGGTAGCCTGAAAAAAATCTAATCTTATTTTTTATTTCTTTTTACAGGACAAAGAAGATGATGAGCGACTCCATCCGCACAAAGACTTCACTTGTCGATACAAATTAAGGTTAGTAAAATAATTTTTTGGGGANATGTCTGTAGTCTCCCAAGAGTGAGGATTAATTTGGGTCATGCGTCTGAACTGGTCTAATTTATGACACACAGAGTAAATTTAACTGCAGTGTTGGTTTCCTTAGAAAAATCGACTTCAAACTAGAAATATCTACTTTGTAAGACTAGTACAATGTTCCTTAAATCTTTACCAAAATATAAGATTTCATGTGAAATTTTAGCAATTGTTTGAACAAATATAGTACCACCATGAAAATTTTGCATCATTTCCCAACACATGCTCATTTTTTACACATGCTCCTGTGAATCCAGGCCTAAAACAGGGATAAAAAACATTAAACAATGGTTTAGAATTATCACTGCTTTCACATAACTATTGCAAATATCATCTTGAGTATGCTGCAATGTTCTAAGTTACCGAGTCCCATCCTCCGTGTTACATCCCTCGCCACCCTATACCTACTTCATTCATGTTCCTATTACATTCCTTTCCAAAATTTAGCTATTTCATGCAGCTTTTTTTTTTTTTTTTTAATGATTATTCTGAAAGTAGACAAATAGATGCTAAAAGCTGGCAACAAGAAAGCCATGATTTATACCACACCACATAGTGATGTTGTGCAAAAAAAAAAATCAGTTTATGTAACATCGCCAGGATACATGTAACGGCAGGACGCATGACAGTGGCGGATTTAGAAGGGGGGGCAAGGGGGTCTTGACCCCCACACTTCGGTTTCTGAAAAAAATATCACACCAATATACCCCTTTTGAAATAAAAATTTTGACTAGCTGAATCATAGTTCTAAACCGTACCAAAGGGCACCGTTTGCACTCCAAAACACCAAAAATTTTTCAGGGCCCTTGAGCAGGCCCCGAACCCCACGCCAAGGGGGCGATGGTTGGCTTCGCGTTTGAGGCCTGTCGTTCCGGACCTCTTCAAATAATCCCGGATCCGCCCCTGAAACCCATCAATTTAGGAAATTTATCTTTAATA